CCCCCCCCAATTCTCTCTTACTTTTTCTCTCTCCATCTTACTTCCCCAGGCCCGCCTCACTACCTTCACCCCTATTTTTGCATATAGGTAGATCTATATTCCCTCCCATACCGTTGCCCACTGCCCGGCCCTACTATTATATTAAATATTATCCTTTGTTAAGAAAAGACCACAGTTCGCACTGGGTCACCACGGTCGGCGTCCATTTGTTGGGAAGATCGTAGAAACGGAGGAACGCCAAGGTCGAATTGCTTGTCTGCTTCACATCCGGTACACCTAGTGTTTGTGCACCTCAGAATTGTACACTTTGTGTAGAATTCTGTTTTGTGCACGCGCATTGGAATTTGAGTCCGAATAGCCACGGGAAGAGCCACTGAAGGCTATTCGGATTCGAATTCAAACTCGAGTCTGAATAGCCATGGGAGGCTGTTCGGACTCAAGTTCGAATAGCCGTGGCCTAAAATTCTACTGAGTCTTCTGCTCTGATTTTGGATCCCACGATCATGATCTGTTTCTGTTTTGTTTAAAGGCTGCTGTTATTGAGAATAAACTATGTCTCGCTATTCTCACCCTGGGTGAGAATAATTCATGACTCGCTATTCTCACCCCCCCCCCCATGTGGTGAGAATAGCTCCCACCCTGGTGTGGGTATGAGGCGAGGACTCCCCCCTGACCTCTCGCAGGCCGATAAAATCACCTGGGACCTAGGCTCTCTGTGGTTTACCGCATGTGGTTGGGAAATTACTCATATGAGGGATTAGTGATTGGCGATTGTGGTAAGATTGAAGAGTACCGGACCAGCGGATTAGGACTACTTTTATGCTTGTCTCGACAACCTTAGGAATTCATGATTTCCCCCAGTTTTTAATCTCTCTCAATGAAGAATTTCTGACCGGTAGCCTAGATAAAAATAAATAATATTCATTTTAAGTTTGTCGGGGGGAGAACCCCCCCCGGGGTGAGAATAACCACTTCCTTGTTTAAATTGGTAGTTATTTTTTATATTACTTGAAATAAAACCTTACCCAGAATTAGTTGGTTCCGTTTAGAGGGGAACAAATTAATCTGTCTACGAAGTAAGGGACTCTCATGAGCCCATATCCAAAAGTCTTAGAAAATGTACGAGTCTCATTTATTTTGTACTGAAACTTTTAAGTGAGCAAAAGTAGGCGTACTTGAATTTTTGTTGTTGTTGTTGTTGTTATCAATCTCATCTTAAGGAAGATTCTTTTGTGTAAATTCCCTTTCAATTTGTTATTACATTACTCAATTTGCATTCTCTTCGATAGGTACTTAACACGATTGAAGAGATGTCCGACTTCAATGCATCAGGTGAGTTCAATGGAGAATGTGCTAATAAATGCTTATTTATTGACAGTGCTACTATAAAATGCTCACTCATATAACTGGAAGAATTATGTAAATTCTTTTTTCAGTCATAAACCCAGTGCCAAGATCAGTTTGTGAGTCCTCAATAAAACACAGATAGTATAAAAGTACTGTGGGCTGACTTTTGTGCCTTCTTTCAACATCTAATCTTTTAAAAAAAAATTTACCTGTGGAATTCATGCTGCACTATGGGGTCACTCTACAGTGAGGAAAAGTGGATTTTCTTTGATAGGGCCTTGCTCTCAATCTCTTTGAAGTTTGATTTTTGGGTCTGTTGAAAGTGAAATGACAGATGAGGAACCTGGAACCTAGGAAGAGATGGTGAAAATCACAACCAGTGGAGAGAGAGATCTTATTGTCAGTTATTACCTTATACTTACCGTCACAGGTATTCTCTGGGCTGCTCTGTCTAATTAACTACATGTGAATTGTTTAAGGCCATTACAATGTAAACACCAGTATTTGTTTGATGGAATGTAGTTTACATTTTTTTCCTTCCCTCATACTCTTGTCTTATTTCTTATTTCTTTCTCTGGGTATTCACATTTGTTAAATATTTGCTCGGACTTCTTTTTATTTCTTCATTGTATTTAATCGTATGCTCTTTATCCAGATCATACTCACCGTAGGTACAACCCTTTAGTTGATGAATGGATTGTGGTGTCACCACAAAGAGCAAAGCGTCCCTGGCTGGGCCAAGTTGAAAAGGCAGCAGCTGATGCCACACCTCGACATGACCCCAAAAATCCTTTGTGCCCCAGGGTGACTCGTCCAAATGGTCAAGTGAGTTCAAATGCTTTGAATATTGGCATAAATAGGCCCAAGTATGTTTTGGTCTTACGGTGATCCCAAAAATTTGGGATATATATATATATGTGTGAGTTGTGCTGACAAAATGACTTAATTCTCAGATATCAGCCCAATGGACACAGATGGGTATATGAGATTTATGGATTGGGTTTGTATAGTTTATCAAATGAAATGATAAAAGACGTGTTTAACTTGAAGAAAATGGCATCAGTTTAAATCCTACAAATTTGATTTGACAGTTTTCGGCTGACATCTCCATATTGTGCATGCAGCATTGTGGGACACAATTCTTTTTATCAGCACATCTCACAATATATCAAGATGAATCCCAACATTTTGGATGTGGTTCCAGGTGAGTCAAATTGTATCAGGACATGGGTGAAAATGAGGCGAAATGTTTTAAGTAGGTTTCAAGACAAAAGTAAAAATTGATGTGTGTCAACCTCTCTACTCGTGTTTAGAATTTTTTTTTTTACAAGTAGGAATCACAATGAGTCAAGTGGATTTGCCTTGAGTATGATCTAATGCAGTGATATAGGTCATTGTTATTCCAATGTGTAAAAATATAATTACAGCTTTAAGTGGATACTGTTAAGTCTCTTCAGGTATTAATGTTTTTCTTGTAGTGCATGGAGCAATGATTACTCTGGTCAACAAGTTTCAGCTTTTTTTTCTCTTTGCCAGCTGAGGTACATTATTTGTTTTAAAGTAATTTTGGGTCACTGATTTCAGATCTGCAGTGAGATTTGTGCTAGCATGTAGGTTTTAATGGTTTTCAGGGTGCTCTTTTTTTTCCTTATTTAACACTATGTCAAAAAATTGCCAAAGACTTATGTAGAGTTATTCTAATCATCAGGAAGCTTTTTCATTCGTATTGCTTTTGATGAAAAACTACTCGTCTATCTTGAATAAAAATGGAGGTATTTGTGAGTGGAGGTGGAGATCGCCTGGTGTCCGAGGTAAAAATAGCGAGGAAATTGCTGCCATAGATTGGCGACTTCCAAAGCTTGAGTGTTCGTGGAAACGGCTAATTCAAATTTTTTATGTGTGCCTTTAATAGTTTTTTTGTGTAAAATCCACTCAGAAATGTGTTTGTCAATAGACATAAAAGGTGTTGAGCGCCCCCCCCCCCCAAAAAACAAAAAAAAAAAAAAAGTTTTTGAGCCAAAAAACCCCACAATTTGATAAATTGCCCGATGGTGAAAAAATGTTCGTCTCTTCGTTTTGGTTATTTTAACGAGTGCCTGATTTCACTATGATGCCACACATATGTTAGTGAGAATACTTGCATTTGTTAGCAAAGTCGTTATTTCAGATTTTTAGTTTGCTCTGATAGCAGTTAGGTTTAATAATAGCTGCCTTCTTTGTGTTTTTTAGTGATCTTTCATTTGTATTTTGCAGGTGAATCCTGATTACAAAAACACTTTTGTGTTTGATAATGATTTTCCTGCCTTGTTGCCTGATGGACCAGAACCACGTGAGTTTTAATGCCGGGTATATCGTCATGAAGCTATGCTGGGTTTTGCCTTGTTGTGGTTTGATTGAAATCCCAACAGGTTTTTTTTCGTCTGTAATTTACTATAATGTTATTCATTTTAGTTCATATTCCAATAAATTGTGATCTTGATGGACATATTTAATAACTATTTGAAGAAGAGGTAAAAAATGCAGACAATTTGGTTGTTGAGAATACAATGTTGAAATAACATTCCCAATTAAAAAAACGGATGAGAGAAAGGAAAATTTTTTGTTTGTGCACACTTTTTAAAATATTGTGTGATTTTCTTTCCCTGGAAAACTGAAAAGAAATCTTTATTGATGGTTGATGCCTTTTTTACATTATTACGGTTTTGTTGTATTTGTAAGTCAACGAGACCATTATGGATAGTAGCAGATTCATAATTTGCTCCTCTGGATGCTCAAGTTTGATTATTTATCATCCTGTTTTATTAAATTCTCTTAAATTCATCCCCCCCCCCAAACCCTGAAGGTGTCTTTAGGCCATTCCCAAAGGGGGGGGACAATAACATGTTCTTATGCACAGTAGAATTGTTAATTGGCTGATTCATGAATGTCATGCTCATGACTGTGCCTGAACTGCAACAGGGAACTGCTGCTTTTTCTTTCCTAATCCTTACTATCGTCGTTTTTCCTCTACTTCTTTTGTATGTTTGTCACACTTTTGTGACCCATTATTTCTGGGGTGCCTTGATAGTCAGAGTAGACTTTATGCTGTTGAAGCTAGAAACGTGAATAGAGTAAGCCTGATTCCCTGTAAAGACTTGTCTGTTGACATCCACCCCTTGGCGTTCATATGACCTTATGCAGTTGCGAGCGCCCTAAAGACTCTAATAAACTAAACCCTGAAGAAAGCATGTAAAAATATTTTTGAAACATGAAAACACCATTCTGTAGAACAAAATAATTCAGACAAGATTTGAGAATAATGTTGCTGTCCCTTTCAGGCAAATTTTAATGTTTTTGGCTTGTCTCTTTTCAGTTATAAAATAACCGTTAAAGTCAGTGTATGTCTGTTTTATAGCCTATGGAGATATTTCTTTTCTGTCCAACGTCAATTTCTGTCCTCAGCTGAGAATGACGATCCACTCTTCCAGTCTGGTTCAGCTCATGGAAAGTGCAGAGTGATATGTTTCCATCCTTGGTCCGATCTGACACTTCCTTTGATGAACGTCACAGATATACGCTGTGTTATTGATACTTGGGTAAAAGAGAGTGTTGACTTGGGCAAGAAATTCCGTTGGGTTCAGGTAAGCTCTACTTTTTAAAACAGCCCTTCCTTTGAATTTTGAACTTGTGTAACTTTAAACACTATGATTATAGTTTATTCTGAATTAAAGGCCTTCAAGTTAATATCCGTTCCTGGTGGAAGAAAAGTGGAAAGAAAGCATTTAGAATATTTGAAGTACCTTTGGTCCTTTCAAAATTTTGGACCTGTGTTGTCAGTTGAATTGTAGAAATATAACCGCAAGACATCATGGTCTGTTGGGTAAACCTTTTCTGAATGTTTGAAAGGGATACGTCTAGTTAACACTTTGCCATCATATTTTAGGGAAAATCCAAAGAAACTGGGTTGTAAACATCGCCAATCGGCGAGATGAGGCGGCAAAGTGTTATGTAATCTTATGACATAACTTTTGTGTATTCTGCACTGATATTACTGTCTTTAATTCTGCTTTTGAATTCTACATTATTTGAAGCTTTGATGGTGAACTGAATTTAGAAGAAAGAGAGGGTGTGGATTTTTGATGTGGTAGTAAGAGATACAGTATAACATTGATAAATCGAACGCAGAAGACTCAAAATCATGCATCCGTCAAACTGTGCCTGTGGTCCCACTTTTTTGTTGTTGCTATCTTTGTAAGATATCCCATGGACTACCAAAGTCGGTCCTGACGAATTCGAGCTATTCGTGTTATACCATATTTTGTTTCATGAACAAAGATGTGAAGATGTAAAATATCAAGTCATGAGTGAAGAAGACAAGATAATAAAGATACAGTGTTTTTGACAGATCAATATGAATTTGTATGGAAAATGTGTAGAGGTGGTTTTTTAAAACCCCGACAAGTTATATAACCAACATGTTTTCTATTAACAGTTCTTTTATACTTTTTTTTCTCTTTTCATTCAGATATTTGAGAACAGAGGTGCTGTGATGGGTTGTTCTAACCCTCATCCCCATTGTCAGGTAGAGTACAAATCTTGGAAATTATGTTGGAAAACCGCCTACTGATTGCAAATTGTTTATGATGAAAAAAGAAAAACGGCGTTTGACATATATATAGAAAGTTTTATAATGGATATTGGTTTATATTATTGCAATGAAAAAACTTTATACAAAAACCAGAGCTTTGTTTATCATTAAAATTTGTAATTTGAAAATTATAGAAAACAAAAACCCTATGCTTCAAGAAGCTTTAAAAATGTTTTATATTTTAGTCAATGTACGCGTGACTTGTTTAAGGGTACATTGTGGGGGAAAAAAGCCGAGTAGCAGTCGAGTCTTTGAAAGTGTGCTATGTTCTGAACCCTACAATCTTATATAGTAAATATACCTTTAGTGGTGGATGTTTATTGAGGGAGCTGAATTGGGTTGTTTTTTTTATTATCAGGAAATAATTCACTGTAACCTGAACGTATCGTTCTCTTTCTATGTTCCTTGTGCCTTTTGAAATTCATAATTCTAGGTCAGTTGGATATGTTACTGCTATTTGTAAGAGGTTGCTATGGGGAGGGGAAAGGAGTGTGTGTTTGAATCATGAATTGACTGGTTCTCTGGTCAGGGAATACATTATATCCATTATGTTTATTGTCATTGAAGTGTTGACGAAAGTGGGTTTTTTTTTAAAGAGGAGGGGGAGGAGAGTACGGTGGTGTTTATCTTACTCCCATAAGACTGTTGCAAAACTGCAGGTAATTATAAACATACTGTTCCCTGCTTTTGTTTTCAGATCTGGGCATGTTCTTTTTTCCCTGATGAACCTTCGAAGAAAGACAAAAATCAGAGGACTTTTAAAGAGAAGTATGGAAAAACTATGCTGGTGGATTACCTGGAAAAGGAGCTTGTTAAAAAAGTAAGCATTTTGAGGATATATAAGGTATTGTTAGAGGGGGGGGGGGGGGGGGGGGGGGGGTTGCCCTCCAACCCCCAATAAGCCAACTTTTTTTTTCTAAACTTTTTCTGTTTAATTATATTTCATATCATGGACAGGCGCTCTGGTGTGATTTGCTCTTTCTTTCCTACAAATGGCCTTAGTACTTATTTCTCCTTTAATTGTATTTTATTCTGTTGCAACACTTCTCATCTTCAGCACTGATATGACCTTTTTTTGTAACAAATGCTGTAAATCTCTTACTCAAACTAAAAAAAGTTCATATAAAAATTTCCTCTTGAATAAAGAGAAGTCGTTTACTCTTGCGAGATTTCTCAACAAATACAATTTTTTTTAGGTTTGCATGGTTAGGTCATTGAATACAATTAATTTAGTAGATTCAGTGTGGATGGAAACATATATCTGAAGTGGAGAAAGATGAGACTTATTTCCGATTACAATTTTATAATGTTCTTGATGTGTGATAATCATGCAGTATCAGATCGCAATTCGGCTTAATTGTCGTGGGTGATTGTGGAGAGTGCTATCAGTAGGGCATTTTCTACTTTTGTGATTATTTTGAGGTCTTTCTTTTTTCCAAATACTTACTCAATGGCTACTGAACGGCCATTGTAATTGCCAGGTGCTTCTTTCTGAGTTTAAAGGTCTTAAAGATTTTTTTTTTTTGTATTGCATCTTTTGTTTTGTTTTTCAGGAGCGTATAATATTGGAGTCCAAACACTGGGTGTGGCTTGTTCCCTATTGGGCCACATGGCCGTTTGAGACTATGCTGTTGCCACGAAGGCACATCCTGCGCTTTGAAGATCAGACTGATGAGGAGAAAAATGGTATGTTCCAAATGGACTGCTTACTGCAAGACGCTGTCATACACCATTTTGAAAAGTGACGTGTGATGGATTCTTACAGTGAGCAGTCGTTAATGTTGTCAGTCTGTAAATTCCAGAGCGTTGTTTTTAGATATATAATTACAGACTTTCAGCATTTTGTTGTTTGATGACATGAAGTAAAAAGAAAATTTTCATTACCAAGTAGGCCATGTCTCACAATAGCTACTCAAGCTTACTATTTTTTTACATTCCCCTCCCCCACCAAATCCACCCCACTATCCTCAAAACCAACAATACAAATATCTCCACTATAAAATATTGCTTTGACAGAATGTTAAGAAAGCCAGCTAGATCTCTGGATATCATTTTATTAGAATTGATGAAATGGTTAAGATCACAAGTATAAAAAAGATGAACAGTATTATAAACGACCCATCACGCCCCCTTTCTAAACAAATTGTCAGATCACGCAACGGCAGATATGTACCTCTACAAACAGAAAAAAAGATACAAAAACAGTTTTTTTCCATCTTGCATAAGACTACTGTCAGCATAAACAATACAATGTGTATTGCTTTTTCAAGTATGTATTTATATAACTCTGAAGGTCGTGTAATTAAATTCCTGCATGTGGTTGAATGATGCATCTGATCTGTTTTGTCAGCTTTACTTTTCTTTTCATGTTGGATTTTAATGCATGTGTTTTTACGGTCCTGTACAGCCAAGAAAAATTTCCCTCTGGGATAGGGCTGGGCCATGAGTCGCTTTAGCGAAATCCGGATAATATGTTAGTGCATCTCTTTGGCAAATAATTATGTTATAAACCGCTTCGACAAATGGATTAGAACCACTTCGACAAATGGGTACACTCACGTGGTCAAGCGGATCAGAGAGTTTAAGAGTCTGAATTCGGATAACGTTTCTTTGAGAATTGTCTGGTTATCCGGACAGATTATCCGGATTTTGCCCACCACTATTCTGGGACAATAAAGTATTATCTTATCTTATCTTATCTTAATTGTTTTTAACATTTCATTTTCAGACTTGTCTCAGATTCTAAAAGAGCTGCTCACCGTGTACGACAACCTGTTTGAGGTTTCCTTCCCCTATTGCATGGGCTGGCAGGGTAAGATATTTCTTTCACTCATTTCCATTGTTTTGACAATGCTGTACATACTGCCAACAATTTGCCTTTTTTTCTTTTTTTTTTGACACTCATTCAGCTTTGATAAATTGTGTGGTTCATAGTTTTAGTTAGTGAAAGAAATAGGAAAATAAATTATTATGTGAGAATATTATAAGCTGCATTTAAGAAAGTTCTTGCATATTTTCCTTCTTTCAATATTATAATAAGGGACTCTTGACTACAGCCCTTTGGCTATTTTTTGTCTTGTATTTGTTTCCTTATCTCTTGCTAGCTGCTTACGTGCAAGTTCATCTGTCTTGGTTGTACGCCCTTTCCAAGTCAGATGGATAATTAGAAATAACACTCTAAAATGAATTAATTTAAGCTTTTGTATGAGCTTATTTTGAAAATATTCTGTTATTATTCATGTAAAGAGTACTTCTCTTTTACCAATGTGAAGGCTAATACTAGTCTGAGTACAGTTGGTGAGTCAAGTAAAGCCAGTGCTCTGTATTGCTGTGATATATTGTAGAATAAGTAAATAAATAAGTAAAGTACACTTTAAAAAAAATCCCTGTTGAGAAAGTTGGTTTATAAGGGTGTAACATAATATTATACATGTATAAATATAACTACATGTAACTACAGAGATACATACATAACAGTTACCCCACATACACACTATTGCTGACAGCCACTGTGCAGCACCCTAATTTTTTAGCTAGGGCTATTATGTCATGCCCAAGGACACTCTCCAGTGACCACCCACCTAAACGTTTTGTCACCTGCATATGCTTGACATTTATGTTGAGCCTGAGCTCACAATAAATCACTCAACAATGGTGAAGGTTTTAGACAAATTTAATGCCAAAAATAATTTTTTAGAGCTCGGAAAGAATATTTGACTAGTATCATAAAAAAAAAAAAGAAGACTTCTATCATTTATGTTTAAAAATTAATCTTCTCTCGTTTCAGATAAAGTTGTGTTGTCTTACTTATAGCAAGGTTAGGGCCAATTACTGGATTTACAATGTTTGTATTGTGTAGGTGCTCCAACGGGTAGCAGCCTGACTGAGGATTGCAGTCACTGGCAGCTTCACGGTGTCTTCTACCCACCTTTACTCCGCTCGGCTACTGTCAAGAAGTTCATGGTGGGCTTTGAAATGCTGGCAAGTGCCCAAAGGGATATGACAGCTGAGCAGGTCAGTCAGGGAGTGATGTGTTCTTTGAGTTCAAGGAGGGGATGTTTTAAAAAATGTATCATCGCCCAGCTGTTAAAATGAACTATGCCCGAAGTTTTGAAATTTAAAACATTTCAGTTTCTTAATCAGTAGTATTGGTTGCATGTGCTCAAGGAATATTTTGTCGAAATTCAAGTTCTAAATCTTGACCAAAAAAAAAAGCAAGAAAAAGTACATGTTGTAGGTACAATCGTTGGAAGATAGAAACAGATTTTTTCTCCCCCCAGTAAAATTTCACTTTCTAAGCTTAGAACATTTTAACAGCTTATCGAAAATATGGTATGTTTCACGTGTTGTAAAACAGGATAAGTCAAATGTTATGGTGGGACACTCAAAATGGTTTCTGACATCCATATGCAATGTATCAGCAAGAGATTATTTATAACTGCCTTGTTTTGGTTTTGAGATTATTTTTTTTGGCAAGAAACTTGGAAGTGGAGGTCTGTGTTTCAATGAAAAAGAGGACCAAACGCAAGTTTCTAATAGATATTTCCTGAGGGCATCCTAGGTTATGGTTAAGGGATTAGGCTTGTAATTGTACAGAAGTGCGGTTTTGATTTCTGGCCCCTCAAGGTAGAACATTGTATTCTTTTGAAAGATCCTATTTCCTTATATTATATTCCATTAGTCACCGAGTTGTAAATGGGTACCTGGTATTCGTTACAGATAGAGACATGATGTAAATGCCAATGCATGAGTGGGATAAAGGCTGCCTTGCTGTATGTCCTCCAGGGTCTGATTGGGTAAACTGGAATGAAGAGGCCAGCTGAGGAAATTCTTGTGACTTTGTGTCGGCCATCTCGCAGAGAGTTGCATTAAACTATGAACTTTACTCTGGCAGAAAGTTTTATTAGACTGTAAGCTTTACTCTAGCAGGAAGTTTTATTTATGACTATAAGCTTTACTTTTGCTGAAATTTTTACAAAACTAAACTTCACTCAGGCTGAAAGTTTTACAAGCCTCTAAAGCTTTGAGTCATAATTTTGGTTGTTTTTATTGATATTACGTTTTTATTTTCTTGCAGGTTTTTTTTTTGTGGAACTTTTGAGGCAATAGTGATTTTAGTTATATTTGTAATCAATTCTAGGAGATTTAGCAATTCATACGAAATGCATCTTTATGTCAAGAAAAATATGGAGTCTTACTGACATTGTTGCTTGCTATATTTTTTAGTGTTAATATATTTAGGCCTACTTTACTACAATGTTGTGCCATAATTTTCAGGCTGCTGAGAGGCTGAGGAATTTGCCAAGGGTTCACTACAAGAACAAAGAGGGAAGTCAGTAGCCGGATATACTACCTAGAACAACCATGTCTTTGGAGAATCTGTCTTGTGTGCCTTGTGCTAGCATAAAGGGATTGGATATACTTTGGCTTTTTTGTGTCTGTAGAGGACAACTGAACATTTTCTAGAGATCTGATGTCTGATTGGTTGATGCTGTTCTGCTTTGTATGAGGGTTGATTTATTTATTCCACAGTTGAGCACAGATTACTCGTTCTCATGTAACATTCTGTTTGTTTTGAGTTTTTCAAGTAATGTTTCTCCGGTAATGTTTTGTGGTGTTGAATTTTATTGTTTTGTACTTCAGAAGTGTGGGTGGTTGGAGGGTGCCACTGGTAGATCCTACTTCTTTACTTTCTCCTGTGTTGTTTCTGTCTGTCTGTCTTACTATTTCCCAGCACTAAATGACCATTCTTGTGTCGATGTGCTTCTCTTTACTCAACAAACGAACAAATCAGAAGTTTTGGTTGCTTTACATTTGCATGCTTTAGAACCATCAGAAGCAAGGAAATTTATCTTTACTTTCCACAAGCTTGATCCAAACTATTTATTCCCCTGTCACAAAGTCATTTTGGGTTAGGTTAGAATGTTAACTGAGAATGTAGTGACATGCGATATGAATACTGTGAATACAGTGTGACTAACCTGCCTGCCTATTATTTTGTACTGCCGAGTCTTTCTCTGTGTCATTGCCAAAGAACTTAGATGATAATGCAGCTAGAACCGCTTGAACCATGTCCGTCTACCTCTTTCTTGGAGTGCAGTTTTTTTGTTTGTTTGTTTGTTTGTTGTTTGGTTGGGGTTTTTTTTTTTGGGGGGGGGGGTGGGGTTTGGTTAGCTTCCTTTCTTCCTCTGGCTGGCCTCCGTTAGGAGGGTGGCAGTCTGCTGCAGGCAGACAGGTAAGAGGTAACCTCGTGTGGCCTCGTCCAGAGTACATCTGGGCCCGGTCTCGCGTTGTTCTCCTTAAGTGGGCCTTGATGTGCTTCCCCCCGCGGGCACTCATACAGTGCGTGCTGCAGGTCGTCAGGACTCGTGCCACTCGCCAGACAGGAATCATTGGGAGCGGAGCCTATTGCATGGAGATACTCCTGCAGGATGGGGCTCTTCGTGTTGCATCTTAGCTGCGATAACACTTTTCTCTGTCTGACGGTTAGGTCTCTCTCTGTCCCTCTCCGGTGGTGGCTTCACCTTTCCCCCGACGGAGTTGTGCACTCGCGGTTTCTCCCATGCGTGGGCAATCATGTAACGTGAGATGCACGAGCTTGCTGACGTGAGATCGACAGGAGTGTTGGACTGGTCGAGGCGGCCGGGGGGGGGGGGGGGGGGTAGCTGCTGGGAGATAATGTCTTCCTGCCTTGCCCCCTCTTATTCCATCAATATAAGTGTAAAAATTTACAGAGAAACTTAAATACTTACTTGACATTGTGTTCTCTTTATTTGAATTTTGCTCATGGCTAGCAAATTTAATTGGGTTCTCTCTTTTGGTTTGAATTTTGCATGAAATGTTTTTTAAAAAGGAAAATATATAATGTAGAGAAAGAAAAAAAAATTAGACTGAGGCTTAAAGACGGGGAATTTGTGTTTCTGAGTTTACTGCGTTAATGTTTGTTGTGCTCTATTGTACTTTCAGACCCGTAAGAACTTCCAGTTTTGTCAGATTTATTTCATACAGAGGGTTCAGTTTTTATTCAGCGTACTGTTTTTGTTGTGTTATTTAGGGTCTAGTTGGGGAGGGATTTGACTGATAAACGTTGATCAAAAGCATTAAAATATTGTCAGTTTGCAGTTTTCAAGGACACTCAAGCTTTGGAAGCCATCAAACTTTCGAGGCTATTTTCTCACTATACCAGGTGACTCCCACCTCCTTCAATCACAGATATGTTAACTTTTTTTCAAGATTGATCCGTATTTTTTTCCATTTAAAGCAAGGCAAAATGAACAGGCTTTAGAATTATACCAATAACTCCATATGCACGAAAATTGATGAGCTGCTGATTCCACGGTGTCATGAAACATATGCTGTAGTTATTGTTTTATATGTATAATTATTCTTTGAAAGTCCGTACTGGTTACTGACTTTATTCCTGTACTTGTATTAACGACAAGTCAACAAGAGCTGTGCATTTCTTGAATAATTGACTATGATATGAGTCATGCTGTTTGTTTGTTACATTCTTCCTGCCTTTGTGACTAAAGAGTGTTCACATTTTCAGAATGTTTTTCTTACCATACTTTGTCTTTTAAGATACTGCAAAATAACTCTTTATTTGCTGTCTGATTGCGTGAGCTTGGATTATTTTTAAGAATTCTAAAATTGATGTAATAGCATTCAGGTAGGCCTACTGTATTTGCTCATCATCAATGAAGCATCACCTCAGTGGGGCATTTTTTGAAAACTTGTTATCAGCTGATGTTCACAATGTATTACTGATGTTGGAGGTATTTTCTATATATATATACATCTATAATTTAATCTTTTCCTTTGAAAACAATTGTATCACTTGTCCTTGTAGTTTTTGCTGTGATCAGTGGTTTGATAAAGCTTGAACTTCTATAACACTTAAAATGTATTTATGACCTCATTTAGTTATATTATACAATCTGATCTATTACTCGTATCTAACCAGTCAATTTAGAATCTGTTTTCTTGTTTGTATATTAATTTATGTAATTTCAAAGTGTATTCTTATGGAGTAAGTCTAGTGCAGATGTCCATGGGTGCTGTTGTGAAAGTTTTTGAGAGTGATATTCCTGGCTGTACTGTAAGGATTAAGTTAAATAATGATGGTTCTGTGATGCATTTATTTTCTTTGGAAAAAAAAAAAGATTTGAAAAGAAAGTTAACATGAAAATTTTGAACGTATATAGGGAAAGATGATTTTTATATATATAACTTTCTGTTTTTGTTGTCTTTAAAAGAAATTGATTAAATTTATGCATGGTGTCTGTAAAGTTACTGAACTTTTGGGTCTTAACAAACCATCTTAAAGTAGTATGTGTGATACTGCTTTACTGAGGCGGCAGGGGAAGTAGATTGCCCAAGTAGATCTGTACAGTTAGGCTGAAAATAACTCACACTTGTCCAACCAGAACACAGGGCATCGAGAACCGAGTTGTTTCCAACTTATTATCTGAATAATAGTAACTTTAGGGACAGCCTGTATATCGTTGACATTTCATGCTTTCTGTGTATGTGCCCTTCTTTTGGTTGCTTACCCTGCCTAGTATTAAACATGAATGCTTTTTTCTTTTGATACACCAGAGCTCGCTAGTTTCAGCCTTGAAAAATGCTATTGACATTTCATATTGTTTTTTTATAGCACTTTTACTTCGGGATGCTTCTCCGGTCTTATTGATTTATATGAGGGTTTTAAGTTGTGCCATTTTCTTTTACCTTTGTCGGTGACAGTAAGTCATATTTTTATTGTTATTATTCCAGCCACTCGTGGGATCATTCCCTTGGGCTGAGTGCCATAATGTTTTTTTTATATTGAAAAGATGGAGGTCGTTTTTTAAAATGTACAATAGAAGTTAATGAAGGAAATGATATACCTTTTTGCTTGTTTGGTTGACTCTGGAATTGACAATAGTATTATTGTCAAGAATGTGGAAAGCTTTAGTAAAGAGCAAAAAATGTCTTGAAAGTTGTGAAGACTTTTTTATGACTCCAGTACAGATTGCTGAATAACCCTGTCATTTCTGGTTTAGAGGCGTCTCTTTTAACAACAAGGAAAAAGAAAGAAGTAACGCGTGTTCCTTTCTTTTTTGTGTGTGAGATTCTGTACTTTGGGTATGGTATAGTGTCTGCCTAGGCCCTTGTTGTCATAGGTATATATACATATATATATATATATATATATATATATTTTGATATATAAAGTGTTTATACGCAAATAAACTTTGTGTTCTACTTTCTCTGTTTATTTAGTTTGCTGTTTTGATAAGTGAGGGGGAGTGATTTGTTGGATGTTATGAAGTCCTCTCACAGGCACTGATGTGTTTATTGTGCGTGATGTTAAGAGACAGGCAAATACAGCTTATCACCAGTGCAGCTATATTACTGGTCAGGGAAATATGACCTCTACTCTTCTATCTCTACCAGTAAATGATCTTTTCCTTCCTGTTTCTGTAGAATCCAGATTATGTGTCTAGACTTGAGTATATGGCGCCAGTTGAGTTGGTTTACAGCATCATTCAGTTATTTGCAACTGCAACAAAAATCCATCAAACCACAGCAAGTCCTTGATATCTATAATAATCAAACTAAATTTATTGCTTGGATCATTCATTTCTATTTCTTTTGGTGTGTATTTTATGCAGATAGGTTAACTACGAGCGAAGTAATTGGGAAGTTTGTGATACTGAAAACGTGAATCACGAAATTGGCTGTACACAAAGGAGGAAACTAAGCGTAAGAGGTCAACTTGAGTATGTCAGAAAATGTTCATCTTAATTTCTCTTTGACTACACTGACATTTTTTTTTAACCTGAGTTTTTTTGTTTTTTTTATAGTAGAGGGTTTTACGGCGCCCACAACTGCATAGGGTCATATGAGCGCCAGCCAACCTGAGTTTAATGCCAGTTTGTATTTCAAATATGAAGACTAAAACTATGGTCTTTTTCTGTTATACTGTAGATATTTGTAAGAGATTGATTTTTGGATTCGGCTAGGTTTGGATTTAAGACAGCCATGTGTCCCATTGATCACACAATAGATGAAAGCTCAGTGCATTTGATGACTTAAGCTGAAAGGTCCCCTAGCTGCGCTCTTTTCATTCATAACCCCCACCCCATACCCATTAAAACAGAAACAGAATATGCTTGGACCTTTTTCCACATTAAAGCAAGTTGAGGGTGAAAGGGAAGTTAATAGTAAATGAATGATGCCAATATGTATATTTAAGAAACATTTTTGTACACACAAAGCAATTATTCTTTCTTTGTTCGCAACCAATTGTATTATCCAAGTTTTCAGCATCTCGAACTTCCCTAAAACTCTGCTTTTATTTAAGCTATTTTCATAAAGTAAACACTAAACTGATTAGAAATGAATGATTCAGTAAACATACAGACTGATTATAGATAACAAGGTTTGGTTGGGGTTTGATAGATTTTTGTAATGACTGTAAATAACTGAACAATGCTTTGAGTCAGCTGAACTAGCACGGCGTATGCTAGGAGCAGTAGGTGTGAGTTAATTGAAAGATGCAATTACTATAATTAATCATTTTCCAACAGTTTGCAGATCG